TTCACAAAAGCTGTTTGTTTGAGTGTGAGTGAGGAGACCCGCGAATCGTATGAGATCGAGAGCGGACAATATTACAATGGTGGTATATTATGGTCTATACAAGGAAGACAATCCGAAAGATGCTCTATTCTGTCCCGCATGGAACCGTAGCGGACCGTACAGGTAGTGTACATGATATCGTAGTAAAGGTCAGGGTATCGGTAGGAAGAAGAGGGCCGAGCGGTCAAACTCGGGCGGGGTATATAATGTCGTGACGTCGTAGCGTGAGGGTATCGTAAATAGAAGAGGAGGGGGTACTAGCCAAGCGCAGGTACGAAGTGAAAATGAGCGAGAAAATAAGGAAGGCGGATGAATCCAGCAGCCGGCGCCGGGCTCGAGTGCTTATCGAAAGAAGGGCAAGTGAGGTCGAGAGGGGACGTATTCTCATGACTGCTACTCGCATTACAGCAGCTTGAAGTTCTTTTCTTCGCAGTGGGCACCAAAAGCTTCGTCGTCCATTTTACCGTAGATGTAAGCTTCGCCGACGAATAGGTACCCAAGATGTTCACCAGAGCCATTTTGAGTTGGTCGGAGGATGACGGGGACGCTGCAGCCATACAAAATAGCAATCACATCCCCCTTCTCGGTCCTGGGTGGGCCAAAGCCAACGAGTTCGTCATGGTCGAAGTCGCAAGTGTTGGTGGTGGCACTACAAATGGGGTCGCCTCTGAGGAAGGATCGGTTCCAGGTGACAGCACGGACGCGACAAAGGTAGTCGTACACTATGTCACGAAATCCACTTTGGAGGTTTCGACGGTGCTGTAATATGGTGTTGATGTTGATGTGGCCATTGTTCGTTTGGAAGGAGAGGCAATGTTCACATGCTGCTTTGTACCAATGAGGGGGTGGGTTGCCCTGTGGATCGCGGTCCGCGACAAGAGTTTGCCATAGCTTGGCCGGAACCTGGTTGATCTCGGTCGCATTCTTGTCGAAAACCCAGCCTAGGCCTTCCAAGCAGTCTTTGGTGATGACACCATCGGGGAATGGATCAGTACGGAAAGACACTGTACCTATCATAACACCCTTCACGTGCATCGACATGTCGTGCGTGACCTGGGCTGGTATGGCGGAGGCGCGATGGACAGGACTTCGAGGGAACTTGACCTGGGCTTGCTTGCCTTGCCTGCCGCAGGCGTTGTAGTTGTTACTACCGGGTAGCCCGACAAAGCTGTCGCCAGCCTTCCGGCCGCGAAATAGATCTTCGCCCTTTCCCCAAGCTGAGTCTTCGACGAACAAGATCCAGGAAGGTAGCGGGACTAGTCGAGGAGTTGTCGGCGTTCGCTCTTGTCGTTCTTTCAACGCCCAATGGCGACAGATTATGTCGATGGATCCCGTGGTGTCTACAACCCATTTGACGAAGTCCCGGTATATCTCAAAGAGATCTTTGCTGTAGTTCGGGGCAGGCGGTGGCTTTAGCGGTCCTGTGGCACGCGGGTCGTATCTGGTAACCTCTTTAGAAATACTCCTGAAGGCATTGATGGTGTCGCGTGGATCGGACGTGTCAAAACCTGACAAAGAGCATACCAAGCTCTCCAATCCTTTCGTAGATTCCAGGGTGCCGTCGGGTCGCTTTCGGAATAACGTGGATGTCATGTCTACCAACAGCTTGGCACCCAGGTGCTCGATCTCCAGAGTTGAGTCATCGTTCAAGTGGTTTCGCTTGACCTGAGACGATTCATAATGCATCATAAGTCGCGCTTTCAGAAGTTCAAAGTGTCGATGAAAGATGGCGATGGCGGTTTGGAAATCGCTCCAGTCTCGCACATGCTTGCCACAATGAACTGAAGCGGATTGCGCAAATGCCAGCTCCTGTATGACCCAGCGCCGGGAGAACCTAGGGAGAATAAGCGGGGGAACAAGTCTGCATTGACATACTCTTACCAGCTCCACTTGAGAAGTTCGTACAGGCTTGCCCAGTCTTCGATATACGTATCGCCAGCGAGAAGAGCCGAGTAATTATCCGGATTGACTACCACGGGGATAAAAGCCATGGCTCTGTTGGAGACGAGATCGTCGGCATTGTCGGAGCCAAGCCATACGTTGACGTTGTAGGCTTTGCGGTAGATGTGCGCCATCTTTAGCACTTGTTCTTCTTTTTCTTTGGTGTCGGATTGATTGATGCACAATGCGTCCACCCAAAGCGCGATAGGCTCGTTGTCTTTCCGCAAATGTCTGAGAGCTTCGTAGAGATTTGGCTTGATCTTGATCATCTTGTCTTGCACAGCCGCTTTGAGTACATCAACTGCTTTTGTGATAGATTTGACGGGAGATGAGGCTGGATCGTCCTGGATGACAATAGTACTGTCGTCTGCGCTATTTCCCCAGTTGTATGAGAGGGCACAGTAAGGATAGTCTTCAGTTCCGAGCTGCTCATCGTTCACGACCAGTAACGTAGCGTTGACCTGCTCGTCGAAAGAGCCCGGCTTTATGATCAGGAGACGGACCTCGTCTTCAGGGATGCGTTTGTAATGGTACATCCTGCTCACCTGACCCAACACTTCTGCCCATTTCGTTCCTTTTGACGAGGCGGATGGGCTACTCGTGGTCGTATTGAAGCTATGCCTGTTGATCTTAACGGCATATCGTTGCGCCCATGCCTGCTTGGAAAGAGCAATAGGTGGTGCCGGACGAGCGATTCCGCGTTCAATCGGAGGAACGTTCGCTTGAAGTGCGCGTCTCACGAGAGATTGAGGTGTGTTCGGCATATCATCGAATTGAGCTTCCGGATCAGCCGGAGAGCTGTATGTTGGTAATGTTGAAGAGTGTCGGATGGAAGCCTGCCCTCGTCCAGCGTGTGGTGGGGTATGAGGCGGAGATTGAGGGATGATATTCGTGCGGGCGGAAGCTGTCGAGCGGCGAGTAACCTTCGGCGAACGATCCATATCGTCATGCTGAGCTTCGGTTCTCCGCCGTTTCTGGGGCGAGTTGGGTGGTTGTTTCTTGGGGGTCATCTTGAGGACTCGAAGACGGTGGACCAACCTGAAGGAGAGATGACGCGCAGAGAGTTAAATATGTGGGTAAGAGTCATATCTCATAGCTGCAGGAACAGAGGTTCCGCCCACAGCGCCACGCGTTCAAGTGGTGGCGCCCATAGAAAACCCCTGATCTGTGCATGCAAAGCACTAGCGAAGGGTTGTGTGTGTGGTGGGGGAAATCATTGATATGTCAACAACATCCACATGCGTACTTCCAGGGCCTGCGACGGATAGTTGCTTTTCGTAAGGTCGCAGCATATATCGAATAGACGGGAGCGACTGGCCCCCTACGCTAAGCCTCGGGCCGCATCACTTCTCAGTATCGGTATCGGAAACGGCCGACGGAAGAGCGATTGCGTAGAAGGATCAAGTACCCTTGCTTGGACCCTCGCTGTAGGCTAGTAATCGGTAAGCTGGGGCCCAAAAGTTCTGCTCCCAGAAATAGTTCTTCGCGATATGGTATCGCAAGTATGTCATTGACACTTGATAGTGAGGGTGAAGACGAGCGTGTCCAACGACAGATAGGCGGGATGCGATGGATTACCAGGTGACGAAATCTCCAATATGGCGGTGTGGGGTCGTTGCGGCGTAGCGGTATTTTTGGGGCTGAGGCTGTGGCTTAACTCACATATGAGAGGTCTCTTGCATCCTGGTAGTATTCGGCAGCCCTGTCACCCAAGTCTAGACGTTAGAAGAATCGATGGGAGCGAGTGGGGCTGTGCCTGCCAAGGTCAGGCACGCTCGCTCGTGGAACTACCGACTGGAAGGTAGCAAAGTTGATGTGATTCGAAAAATCAGCCTATTGCAACCCTCCAAAGAAAGTGTTGAGTCTTGCGGTGAGGTCACAATACTCCCATAAACAGTGCGGTATACTCTGCCGAGGGTCAAGTCGAGCTGAAAGACCCCTCGCTTCATCCCGATCTTTCTGCCTTCTTGCCTTCTGATCATGGCTGCCTAAATGTGAGTTATCAGAGAATTCTCGCATGCTGTATGCCGTGTGCCACAAACAGCTGATCAGCGTTTACGAAGTTGAAAGTGAAGTTGAGGGCTGATGGTTCTTTGACGGCACTCATTCCTTATGAAGAATTACCATCTCACGATAGCATTGACCGGCGTCGTGTTGCGTATCCACACGGCGCATTGCAGAGCCTAAGCGTCCACCAAGCGGATGGGTAGGAAACGACGTCTTCGAAGGTGGTGAGTGTTGGGGCGGGCTGCGGCTGGGCTGTGCGCTGCCGCCTAGGTATCGCAAAACGTTCCAACTTCGCTCAGCCACAGATCGGGAGGCCACCGGTAAGGCGTTCTTCGTATCAACACATGATGCGCAATTTGATCATTGACGTTTGCTTGCAGCACTTGGGTCGTGGCGAGTGATTATGAGTGACAATGGCAGCCTGGAAGGTGGCGGTGTTTGGGGGAAGCACCAGGGCAGCGGCGCTCCCCTGAGGTAGCCGAAGCCGGAGTAGCGCGTCTCCCTGTTGGAAGTGACGCCCAGCGCCTCCCAGCATCAACCGCTCCTCCACAGCATATTCACCAACGAGACACATTCGCGCACTTAACAGTCAAAAGTAGCAATTACACTCATGTAATCTGAAATGCACTTATTCCACCATGAGGTGTATGTGCTTGAACAACATTTCTAGCCAGAGATGCGATTCGAAGCCGACTTTCATCTTCAATTTATTTGCGCTTCTTCCTTAAGTTTTCTTCATCCGATTCATCGTCCAGCTCTTCATCGCTCAACACCTCTTCGTCCAAATCTTCCTCGTTCAGATCCTGCAAATCAGACTATGTTAACTGATCCTGCATAGTTCTATCGTCAACACCGCTTTCCTCTTCCCCACCGACCCCACCCCCCTTCTCCTCTTCCGCGCTTTGTTCAGACTGACGCTCGCCAATCATACTCAGCAATTTGATCCACTGTTCAACATCCGGATAAGCCTTCCAGTCGCCTTCATGGCGTGTGTAAACTCCCCCTGGCCGACACTAATCTTCCTCTTCGGGAACGAATTCAAGGGGTTGGATGTCCAGCGAAGTAAGCAGCCAGTCCATGAAATCCGAATGCGCCGTTTCCGCATTATTGACCAGTACGGAAGCTCGAGCAAGGTATCGCGGCCTCAGAGTCAACAACGCGAGCATAACTGGCAAAGCAAGGTCTCCAAACAACTTGCCTATTTGCTTGATACGTTCAGTCTGATAGTCGTAGTATCCGACCAACTCCTCCCCAAACATCTTGTCTCTCAATCCGTCGCCGAAGTCGGGAGACCTCCCCTTCCCCCAACCCGTGAGTTCAGGAAAGACAGTAGGGCAAAGCCCACCATCCATCAGATTCCTAAAAGGCACCGCCTTATATCCTTCCCCCCGAATACACCCATGAGCCAAATACTCATGCTCGCCATGATACTCACCCGGATCCAAAAGATGCGGCACCCACCAGATCCTCACCTCGCCATCCAGCTTCTCGCGATCAATCACAGCAACGTGAACATCGCTATACTCCAGAGAACAAGTATACGCATAGCAAAGAACCGTGTGAAGAGAAGCAGCCCACGAGCTAAACTCTGTCAGAACGTCTTCGTCGGCGGAGAAGTGGGCTTGCGCCATGGCATGCAGTTCTTTCTCCTGTCTTTTGTAAAACCCGGTGACTTGCCTGCCGTTCATGTAGCCTCGGGGTATGATCTCGGTTGCGTTGATGACGGAGCATTCGCGGCCGCCGCCGCTGGATTCGTCGAAGGCGCGGAAGAGGTAGCGTGGGACGCGGTTTCGCATGGCTAGGTTTACGGGTCGAGTTAGTTGTACGGGGGCTGTAGCTGCTGCATCGCTATCTTACCTTCGAAATGGTCCTTTCGCTGGCCGGCGGTCTCTTCGCCATCAGGACTCTGCACGTGTAGAGGCATCGAATAGGTGTCGATCTGTGTGCTCTGTCGCTTGTTGATTTATATGGTTCCAAGACTATATACATGATGTGCGCAACAAACAACTAACAGTCATGCGATGTTCTCAGCAGCCTCATCTCACATACTCAATATCTCTGAGATCCAACCCGCCTCTCACAAAGCAATCTTCGTACATGATAAATATACTCATTCATGTTTCATTTCATCAAGATAGCAAATATACACACGAATCTCCCAATCCATCCCAGCCGATCCGATCCGATCCATTCGCCCTGGATTAAAAAAACGCCATGGAAAAAGCCCCCTCATATGAAGAAGCCTACTAGTCATCCCATCATACTTGCATTCCAGCATGCATCCAAACAATGGGGTATTAACCAAAAAGCACCACCACCATTATCTTTCATGCCTCCTCTCCTTCCTCATTACATCAATATCCAGACCGACCCACCAACGAACAAAGCGAATATGAGGATAGTGAGGATCGCCGCGCCCGCTTTATCCCCAGTGGTAATTTCGGATTGGAACTTGGGTAATCGGTCGGCGTCGTTTCCAGAGCCTAACCCGGGGTTGCCTTCAGAAGTACCACCGGTATCGCGTGAGTACGGCGGCGGCACTCTCTGCGCATTCAACACACTGATGACGTTGAGGGCCGTCATCTGCGGTCCCACGCCCTTGATGTTGTCCCAGCCCTGCTTCCACCAACTCATACCGCACTGGTGATTGCCGCCGCCGTGGTCAGACGGACCCTCGCATGTTTGCGCAGCAGCTACCGCGGACTTTTGCAGCTTGGGCATGATTTGCGGCGTGAATTCGGGGGCCATTTGCATGGTGATGCCGAGCCAGCGGGCGAGGTACGCTTTGAAGGATTCCTGGTCCGCGTCGCAGACGATGTTTGCTTCGCAAATTTCGACCATGACGCCGCCTTTGTCTTCGGGGAAGAAGATGGCGACTTTGTTGATGAATTTGGTGAGTTCGTTGCGCCACTTGTCGGCGCCGTTGGTGTAGTTGTACATCTGCGAACATGGTTAGTAATCGAATCTGTGGTGTAGTAACATCCGTCTTACGTATGCTGCTCCTGCAATCATGATACCGTAGTTGTAGGTCCAGGGCGTTTGATCGGCGTCGCTGCATGGAGGGTTCGTGCTGATACTGGTTCCGTCGTAGACTTGACCGTCACCAGGCAGAATAGGACTATTCGCCATCCAGTCGAATGCCTTCTCGGCCCACTTGGCATATGTGTCGTTCTTTGTGTACATGGCCAATCGCGCGCCGAGATGGAAGAGTCCTCCGTTGGATGCGGTGTTTTTATACGTCCACCCATTAAGCCACGGATAGATCTGCCAGCGCATGCCACCGCCGCAAGTGCCATCGGACACCTCCTTCTGGTAGCGGCCGACGAATTGGTTGAAGACGGACTGTGTCATGGCGAGCCAACCGGGCTGGTCTGAGGGAGGATCTTTGAGTTTGTATTCGGCGGCGGCGATCATGGAGAAGGCCCAGAAAACTTGATCATCGTTTCCTTCGTTCTTGGACTGGTTGGAGGGCATCTAAAAGGCTTAGCGACAGACCCTGCGATAGCGCATAGAGATACATACCAGGTCTTGATGCTCACCAAATTGGTGTATCAGTCCCTCGCGGACCATCTCATTGTACTGATCGTCGCCAGTGTAGTGCCAGTAGTCGAGGAGGGTACCGAACATGGCACCCGCCTGCCACCAGTAGTACGGTTCGTAGAGGATACCCGGGTAACCACCGAGTACATGGATGCCCTTATCGTCGATAGTCGCATATTGCGCAACGAGCTGTTTGGCAACCTGGGAGGAGACATCGTTGATAGAGGCTGTAAGATCAAGTCAGTATATGCTATAAGCGCATGGCAGTCATGCGACGGCGACGGGCATCCTACTCTCTGAATTGGGGTCGAGCACGATGGCCTGGGTGAAGGGTCGCACAACATCTGTCGACAGCAGAGAGAGCGCCGCTAGCGCTCGCGCAGGGCTGAACAACCTCATCTCGACATGTGCTTTGCGCCTAAAACAATGCTAACGAATGGCTACCCCGCAAGTGCGTGAGACCAAGTGGGGAGGAAGCGAGATCAGACAAGATCAAGCAAACAAGCAGCGTGGTGAGGTTGACCAGGGAGTAGGAGGCAGGTACCGGAGAAGGTTGTGGCAGCGGAGGAACGGCGACAGAAAAGCGAGTGTGAGTGGTAGTGGTAAACAGGCGTCCAGCGTTTGATGACGGACGTGACAAAGAGAGGCGGGAGCGATCGTCGAGGCAATAGCGGGCAGCGGAATGGCGGCACTGGTAAGGTAACTTTGATGGATTAACACGGGCCTGTGCCCCCATAGGCTACCCTGGCAATCCCATGGTCGTATTCGCCGCCTGCATCTAATCATCATGCAGCTGGCGTTCCCTCTAAGCCGAGGAAAGGCAGGTCAAGTTGTAATTCACAGCGCAAGCGCCGGTGCGAACGGCGCCACACCACCACGAACACCAATAATAGTCAACAGATTCCCGCTCTCACTGTTGGTGCTGTCTGCGTGTATCTTGCGCAACGCAGCAGCAGGGCCCGGTATCCGCGTTGAAACTCTGGCACCTCTGGAACGGATTCCGCATGCCTGCGCCCCACCTGCAGGGAATGTTTGTGGCGCAGGCGCCTGACTTTGCGCTGTTTGGCCTGACTTGACCGTTTGTTTTCCTCGTTCCGCTTCGTTTCGTTTCTCACGTGGGTGAAAACTCCCGATCTCCTGCACTGCATCTGTGGCTCGTGAACACGATCTCCAAACTACGTCAACGTCGGTGTCACACAAGCGTTTTCCAAGCAAGCTTACAGGCGTGCTTGAGGCCGAACCCGCCTGCCCAGCTGTCTTGACGGCTCTCTGCCAAGACCTCTGCCAAGCCACTGTCCCGTGCAATGTGTGGGGATGTCCGGAAATTGCGATCATGGACCCTATTCTTAGTACACAGGAAGTTAGGCCAGGCCCTAAGGCAAGCAAGGCAAGCAAGCAGGCAAGAAAAAAATGGAACACCAAAGATTCTTGGTCAAGGTCGCGAATATCATGCTTTTAAGCAGCAACAGGGAGACGCGCGTATCGCACGCGTTCTCTTACGAAGCCTTTTCTTGCGTTTACATCCTAAACACACCCCAGGTGCTCTCCTTCTCCACGCCCTTGTTCTGCCCACCGCACGCCATCTGCAAGCCCATGCCAAGCACCCTCCGTGTGTGTTCCGGCGGTATGATACCATCGTCCCATAGCCTTGCCGACCCGAAGGTGGCCTCACTCTCGTGCTCGATCCGTGCCTTTAGCGCGGGATCCACTTTCTTGCCCACGGCTTCCATGACGGACGATAGCTGTTCTGCGCCCATGACCGACGTCTTTGCGTTGGGCCAGGTGAACATAAGTCGGGGGGAGTACGCGCGGCCGCTGTAGTTGTGTTAGCAATGTTGCGTCGAGGGGTGGGACTGGAAGGAGACTTACCACATGCCGTAGTTTCCAGCGCCAGCACTAGATCCGACGACGACTGTGAACTTGGGTACGTCAACGCAGCTCACGGCTGTTACGAGCTTTGCGCCGTTCTTTGCAATGCCGCCCTTCTCGGCGTCCTGGCCGACCATGAATCCTGAGATGTTTTGGAGGAAGATGAGGGGGATGTGTCGCTTGCCACAGAGCTGGACAAAGTGTGCGCCCTTGAGCGAGCTCTCACTGAAGAGAATGCCGTTGTTGGCTACGATACCCACGGGTTGACCGTATATCTTTGCGAAACCAGTCACCAGAGTAGAACCGTACAGTGGCTTGAATTCGTCGAAAGAAGACCCGTCGACGATGCGTGCAATGATCTCGTGGATGGGGATTTGACGGCGTAGATTGGTGCCGACGATGCCTGAAAGCTCCTGGGGGTCGTAGAGAGGCTCCTGGAAAGTCGGCTGCGAAGTGACAGTCTGGTTACGGTGCCAGTTCAAGTTGCCGACGCTCCTCCGAGCAAGGACAAGTGCGTGCGCGTCGTCAACTGCGAGATAGTCTGTAACACCAGAGACCTCACTGTGAAGCTTGCCTCCACCCAAGTCTTCCGCTGAGACCACCTCGCCAGTCGCTGCCTTGACGAGCGGTGGCCCGGCAAGGAAAATATGACCCTGGTTTTCGACGATGATGTTCTCGTCGCTCATACTAGGCACATAAGCACCACCCGCGGTACATGGTCCCATGACAACACTGATCTGCGGGATACCCATGCCCGACATGCGCGCTTGGTTGTAGAAGATGCGGCCAAAGTGGTTGACATCTGGGAACACATCTGCTTGGTTGGGCAGGTTCGCACCCCCAGAGTCGACGAGGTAGATGCAGGGTAACCGGTTCTCTTGAGCGATCGTCTGGGCTCGCAGATGCTTCTTCACGGTGACGGGGTAGTATGTGCCTCCCTTGACTGTGGCGTCATTGGCGACAACCATGCATTGCACACCGTTGACTGTACCAATTCCAGTGACGATACCGCCTGCAGGTACATCATCTTCTCCGTACATGTTGTAACCTGCCATCTGACTCAGTTCGAGGAAAGGCGTGCCCGGGTCAACGAGTGCAGATATTCTGTCTCTGACCAACATCTTGCCTCGCTGTATGTGCTTGTCGCGAGCCTTCTGCGGTCCACCTCGCGCAATCTTTGTGTGCAGATTAACCAGGTTCTCGGTCGCCTCGTCCATTTGGCGCTTGTTCTCTTTGAAGTCCGCATTGCTCGTGTCGACGTTCGTGGGGATCACAGAGACGGCTTCGGCATGGTGTGAATGCGTAAAGGTAGCAGTATTGCGAACTGTTTGGGAGGTGATCCGCGATTGGGTGTGCGATGGTAGCGTAGGACGCGAAGTGGACGAGAGGAGGCAGCGTTGTGTTTGCGATCGAACGACTACTGAGGGTCGTACAGAATGCTTAAGCAAGGTCAAAGCCTCTCTTGAAGGCGCTCTTGGAACCATTCTGGCTATAGAAATGTGCGCTTTAGAGGCCACAGCACTTCAGCCAGCCCTCTTTGTGTATGCGGGGGCAAGTTGCTTTGCGCGTAGTCACGACGCGAGACTGAGGGTGTAGTGGTATGCGAAACGTATTGGTGAGTCACAGCTCGATTATGCGGCCTAAAAGAAAGCAGACAAAAGAGAGGCAAGAAGTACGCGGGCTTCCGCTTCGAAAGAAATTGACCTCGTTGTTTGCCGAAGCGCAGTTGAAGCTGGGGTTCGGATGACATCTCAAGACCGCTGTTAGCCGTACCGCGGCTCTGCGGGGAAACCGCGCTAGTTACGTTTCAAGCAGGTACCAAAACACCTTGACCATGCATCGTGATGCGCAAAACAATATCACACTGTATTCCTGGAGCTAGAACACAGACTGTTGTAGATTGTTGTTTACAGCTTCTCACTCTCAACCGGCACCTCAACCACCTGATCCAAGCCCTCATACTTTGGAACATCAAGATTATACTTATCCGCCATCTCCGGGCTCAAGAACCTACCACCAAGGAAATGCCTCCCAGTGAACTTCTTAACCAGCGGCTTAGGCGCAGTCAAGCTAATGAGAGCCGGTGGCATGAAACCCTTGCCAGGTCCAGAATCCTGAGGCCCGTTCTCGATATCCCACGATGATGGCGCATCGACAGCGAGAACAGGGACGGAAGTAGATGCTAGAGCCTCGATGACTTTGGGGAATGGCTCGCGTACTTCGCCAGAGAAACTGAAGCCGAAGATTGCGTCGACGATGTGGTCGGTTTGCTTGAGTGCGGATGTGAAGTCTTCTGTGAATGGCACTTTGAGGTCTTCGAGTTGCTTCTTGAGGCGCTATGAAGTGTAAGTTTGTGTGAATTGGTAGTTGAATTGTAGCATACTTGATACAAGTCGTTTTTGCTTTGCTTTGGGTAGTAGATTGTAGGTTGGTAGCCGTAGTGGAAGAGATGACGGGCTGCGACTAATCCATCGCCGCCGTTGTTGCCGGGACCACATGCTACGAGGATGCGCTTGCCTTTGCTGAGGGGTTGTAATTTGAAGACTGAATCGTCAGCTTCACGGAGTGCATTCGGTCGAGCAACAACGTGCCTGCTTGGGAAACAGAGAGACCAGCGAGCTCCATCAACTGATCGATGGAGAACGCGCCCGATGACATGAGCTCTTGGTCGAGCGCAGCTGCGCTTTTGGCAGAGAGAGTCTGCGAAGTGAGATTAGTAGTCAACATCAAGTCAAGAGTCTTGGAACTCGACTTACTCGAAGAGCCATCGTAGAATGTTCAGTTCACAGATGGTGTATGTAATGTTGAAGGCAAAATGGTTGTCACACGATGTATTCGTGAACAACATGGTGTTGCCATTACATCACCGCTCAAGGATGATGAGGTGAGGGCAACAGCAGTTGCACAACATCACTACACAATCAACCTGGATCTCTACCTACTTAGAAGACAGAATAGGTCAGCAAACACTTCTGCTCACAGAATAATTTGTTTATTCCTCGTTCTCCAAGTCATAGTACACTACAACTCGCACGTGCCCACGCATCTCGGCAGATCCTCGGAGCAAAAAGATATACCCAAACCACCACCAACCAACCGCCCGCTCCACTCGCGCAGTCGTCGCAACAGCAACATCCCCATAACACAACACCCACACAATGGTCTTAAGAATCCGACTCGCCCGCTTCGGCAAGAAGCACTCCCCCTTCTACAACATCGTCGTCGCACACGCCCGGTACGTCTCCCAATCCCAATCCCAGAAAACGATCCCATCTCGGGAGTCCGCAAATACTGCAACCAGCACATGCCTACATGCCTACTCCGCCGCCCCTTCTCAAAGACCACTCCGATCCAATTCATCCAACCCCCAATCCCACCCGCTAACACACCCACCAACAGCACAGCGCGCAACTCCCGCCCCCTCGAAGTCCTCGGTACCTACGACCCAAAGCCCCAACCACCACGACCCGGCGACACCCACGGCCGGCCGTGGAAAGACATCAAACTGGACCTGTCGCGTGCGCGGTACTGGGTTGGTGTCGGCGCCCAGCCCTCAGATACAGCGTGGCGGTTGCTGTCCATGGTGGGGATTCTGGAGCCGCAGTATAGGGTGGGTAAGATTGCGGGGATGGTGGTGAAGAGTGGGAGTGCGAGTAAGAGTTTGATTCAAGAGGGAGGGGCGCCGCGGGCTGTGGTGGAGAATTTGGAGGGGGGGACGGCGGAGACGGCTTCTGCTACTTAGGTGGTTGAGTGTGGATGCGAGGTCTCGGGCAACGTGCGTAGGGCGAAGGGCGGGGAATATCGAGCTTCAGACGGTTGGACACATCAGCGTTCGAACACAACGTTCCGAGAGCAATTGGCTGGGTTGCGGTATGAGGCTTTAACCCAGACGATTTTCAAGATGATCTAAGAAGGAATGAAAGATGCGCAACACATCGATCTGGAATTGGCTCTGAACAAGGAGCGTATGCACAAGAAGCTCAGCGCACGAAGACATAGCGTGGAAGAAACTGTTATGAGGGAAGGTAATTCTAGCCTTCTACCACAGACCACGGGAGGCTACGTCCGAAATGTACAACTTGTAACAATACAACAAACATCAACACGCGGACTTCAACTCTCGATCAACGCAATGACAGGCCGTGAGGAGAACACGTCTTGGAAAAGAGCGGTACGATTACTATTTCGCTCAAAACTACCACAAGGCTACACATATACCTGTACAACCCTCCAGAATACAACAAAGCCATCGACACCATAATCGACTTAACTCCAACACCCAGGGTCATCCCATCCATCCATCCATCCAGTCTAATAGATAAGCCCCCAAGCAAATAACTCCCGCTAAATGCAACACCATCTCCCCAAATCCAACAAGATCGAAACACTCTTCAATGCGCCGCAACCAAAAAGGTATTCGTAATGAGACAAACGACCATAACAACAACACCGTAAATGCTCAAAGCAAGCGCCAAATTACGCAACAAGCCCCTCCTGAAATCACGATTAAGATGTCCCTCGCTCGTAACATACCCTTCCGCCTCTCCGCTCTGATACTCATCTTCGTCGTCTTCATCCTTAACAAGACGTTGGTGGTGCGAAGATTCCGGATCAGAGATCTTGTAATAAAACAAACCGGGCAGAATGAAAGAAATCGTCGTGGAACCCGTGCTACCAACATAAGCCAGTACTTTCTCCAGACTAGAAACGGTCATGGCGGTGATGAAGGAGAGGATGATGAGGACGGTGGAGATGACTGCGAATTTGAGGTCGCTCATCTCGCTGCTCTTGGGCGCGCCGGGCTTGGGTGTGTTGTTCATGAGCGTGTTTCGTGAGGGGCTGCTTTCGCTTTGTTTGCGGCCGCCGGGGCGCCACTTTAGACATGCGTCGATGCTGGCGCGGCAGGGGTGGATTTGGAGGGGGTAGGAGAACATGACGAGGATGACGATGGCGAGGCGGCCAATGGTGCTGGCGGCGGCGGTGGGGTACATGGATACGATGTTGCCGTGGATGTTGTCGCCGTAGGATAGGTAGCCTGTGATGCCGGTGAGGATGTACAGGCCGCATGCGCCTCCGATGGAGGCGAAGATGACGGTGGTGGTCTGGAAGTGCGAGTTGTCGGCTATTTCGTTCAGGATCGAGAACATGTTCTGGTGGCATGTGTAGGCGAAGACGATGACGGGGAAGGCAGCGAGCGCGGAGACGGGGCCCGCCCATTCGAAGACACGGACGTTGCCGCGGTCGGCTATCGTGTCGCCTTTGAGGAAGTGGGCTACGACGAGTATGACGAGGTAGGCGATGGAGAAGAGGGCGATTACACTGGTGTACTTGAGCGAGTCTAGACGGCGCAGGAAGGACAGCGGAATGACGATGAGCCTGGATGGGTTAGTACACACCACTCCGAACTTCATAACCAGCACCTACATGAATGCCGTGATCCAGAACTGCCTGTCAACCAGAAAGGTAATGTCTCCAGCGCCCGGCGCAAATCCTCGAACCACACCCGGCATCAGATCTCCGATGATAATAAGATAGCTGACGGCGACGCCGAAGCACTTGACTGCGATAGCGGCGTCGAAGATGATGGACAGATTCGGGTATGTCATCTGAGACAGTGTCGCAAAGGATACATGCCCGCGGTCAATGTAGCGGGCGCATCGCGTCTGGAGGTAGAGGCCAAAGCCTGCGGTTGTGCCAGCCCATGCGATAACGAAGATGCCGAGGAAGATGCCCATTTTGGAGAGCGCGGAGGGCATGGCGAGGAGGCCGGCACCGAGAACTGTACATGGTCAGCATGGTGTCGTGTGGGGTGGCTGGCATGGGCGTACTGGTGTTGGCCAGGTTGATGACACTGGATATCCATGTCGCCTGGCCCTTGAATCCTACGTCTTGCTTTCCTCTGCCTCTCCTACTTGGGTCAGCTTTCGTCCGATAAGAGATATACGAGCGTATCGTACCGTCGCCCTCTCAGCGACCCGGTGCTCGAAGTCATGGGGTCTGCGTCTGCTGGCTCGGGGCCGATGGCGGAGTAGGAAGCCATGCTCTGGGGTGCGAAATGCGCGGTTCGTGTTATTGCGCGTTCATCCGTTGCGGGTTGGCGGTGGTGCTATCTATATCGCGATGACGAGCACAGGCAAGCGAATGTGATGACAGAGCTATGGGAGCTCGAGCTGGCAGTGAAAAGCGAGGGTGGGAGTGCTCCGCTGACGTCTGGTCTCGAGGCCCCATAACCCGGGGGCTTATCAGCGGCCGCTAAAATTAACATCCGCTCCGCTCGAGGTACGCGCCCGCGTTTACACGTCTGGGCGCACATAAACATCGAATCCAGCACCACCATGGACGAATACGAGGAGGCGGTTCTGTTCACATTCTCACTGCTGGAATCGCGGTTGGATCGCCTCGAGTATATCCTGGGCGGCCCGCAGGACAACACCAAGGACAAGCAAAAGACCATCCCGGATCGCATACACAGGATTGAACAGTC